CTGTTTCACATATAATTTATGAAAAGACCAAAGAAAAGACCAATTTACAAAAACCATACTGAAACATTAGGCACATGAAGCAACAGTGCTTGCAACAACATCTTAGTGTCTCTCCTTAGTAAGGGGCATCAACAGTGTGCTTACTTTGTAAGGAAGAAAATATTTCCATGCAAGAGTGCTTACAGGTGGCCCCTCCAGTTCTGATAGTAAGTTTTTTAGTGCCTGAGTGCTCTCCAGAGCTGTAGCATGAGGTTCTGTGTGTGTTTACTGCAAATTAGCATATTTGAAACTTTTTTCAGACAGGATACAAGGTAGAAAACACCTACTCCAAGAATTCTGAGTATTGTGTCTAGGTATTGTGGGTATTCTGGGTACTGTGTCTGCAGCCCTTTGTGTAAGCACAGTTCAGACCTGCATTGATACTCTCTTCTGGCAGGATGTGTAAAGTCATTACAGGATGCTTTTGATATGAGGAAAGGATGGGGCAGGCAGCCTTTGCTTACTGCAGCAGCACTCAGTGCCATTGGGTTTGGCTGTGCCCTTCCATTGGGTCTGCACAGCATCCTTTATCCTTTCTCCATTATCCTCTGTTGTGCCAGTGCCAGCCTCCTGCATCTGCAGCAGGAGCACTCAGCTCAGGTGCTGTGTTTTTGCAGAGGCAGTGGTCAGGCTCTGGTGGTGAAGAATAAAGGAAAGAAGGTTCACTGGTTGGGGAGGTGGTGCAGTGAGTGGGGCCTGAGCAGTGGTCCTGCTTGGACAGGGTAATTCCCTTTGCATACTGTCCTGAAAAGATTATCAGCATCTCTGACTGTGACAGTACATGCATGGGAGAGCATTTGCTGACAGCTCACCATTTATCTCAACACCTTTGATTTTTGGAGGTGAATGATGGCATTGCAGTGGAATGTGCTCAGCACTCAGCGATGGCATCATTCTATGGCAGAAAGAATCTTCCTGTGCTGCCTTTGGCCCTTCTTGGGCACTTGTGCTGCTGCCTGTCTTGTATCCAGCACAGTTTGCTTTTACAGCCACCCTGTGAACTCTAGCAAAGAATTGATGTGGGTGAACTTGCTTTCATCTGGAGATGTTCTTTTCAGCATATCAATTCCTGATCTAGTTCTCCAAGCAACAGCCAGGATACAGGGGTCTTGGTAGAAGTGACTGCCATAGGAAATGTGACACTTGTAGTTTATCATGCATTGCAATTTCAGCTAATGCCTTAGATTGCTATAATGAATTTTGAGTTTTAGCTGCATTGTGGGCTGCTTCAAATTGTGGGGTTTGACTCCTTTCCTGCCTTCCCCTGTTGTGTGGTGCTTTCCTGCCCATTTGTTTTCTGATACACGAGTCTTTCCAGTGCTCATGGGTGCTAATCAGTGCTAATCAGAGATTAGCTCATGGGTGCAACGTAAAAGTAACAACTCAGTGTTTTCTTTTGGATCAGTGAATTAATGCAACTTATTTGGTTCTATGATCACAAGGCAGCAAGGGAAAACAATTAGGTCTTTTAAGTCGTATTCTGCCATGAGCTGAAAAGGAAAAAATCCTGTTTCTGTGTTACAGCTGGGGACACCTCAGTGTGGAGAGATCATGACCTGCCTTATTTTGAGCTTTAGTGTTATATTTATTACAGTAGTTTTTGTTATTTGACCTGTTTAGAGGTGAAATGCTTTTCCTCTGACTACAGAAAAGCAAGGTACTATTCCCTGGTTTGCAGGGAGCAGGTTTAATGTTTTACCCAGAGGATCAAGACAGTTGTTGCATTTGAATTGGCAATGATTTTCCTGGAAACATTACCTGAAATTCAGTTATTTTCAGGCAGAGTTGTTAGTGTACAATTTTCTGTGTTGCTGGGGGTTTTGTGTTCCAAAATCCACATAACGTTTTGGCTTCTGTAACTTCAGTCTTGCTACCTAGTAACAGCAAGAGTCCTGAGGTCCTTCATTTTGCCTGGTGTTTTGGTAATGGGCTACCCTGAGTTCTTTGCTTAAGCATTTGCCTTTTTCTGAAGAGTTCATGTCATCTGCTGTTGTTGATAGATAAAAAGTCTTTCTTATTGGCTTCCTTGAGGCTTCTCACCTTTTGTTCTCTCTTGATCTTTGCTGTTCTTACAGCACCACAAATTCTGCACTAGAAGACAGAGTATACTCCAACATTTTTATTGAAACTGAATCTAATACTCTGTCCTCCCATAAGCTTCTGGTAATACCTAGATTATAATATACTGAATTTATCTCCAGACAGTGGTTGGTAATACTCTTAAGTATCAGTGGTTTAACATTTGGATTTTCTGAAGCTTGGAAGTTGTATTTATATAGTATTTTCCCCTTTTTAGAAATGCCTTGACTTTTTTTCCCCCCCCTTCTCTTTTTGCTGCTTAGATTTCTTAATCTGATATGCTGCTCACATTCAGTAAAAAATTGACTGGAAGTACCAAAATGACTACAGTAAGAGGAATCATTAGGAAAAAACCCAACACCCTGCATTTGTACTGTTTGGAACAGGCCTTTTTTTGTGAAAAGGTTATCAGGGATGGAAAAGTTCTGCTAAAATAGACTTAGAGGGCTGAAATGTTATTATTTGCTGAGTGGTGCTATTAATCATCCTGATTTAGGGAGCAAAAGCATAAACAGGGTCTGCCTAGCTATATTAATGTGTATTTGGTGGTAGATACAACAAATGATAGTGCAGCAGCCTCCTGCTGCCTTCTCTCAGTGCTTTTGGTATTTTTTTTCTTCTGCCTGCTGTACTTGGTTGTCAAAATCATAAAGGAATAGTTTCTCTGACAAGTCCTGCCCCTTTTCCTGCCTCAGCATAATCCATCTTGCTGAGCATTCTGCAGTGCCCTGCGGTAGAGTGGTTGCTGTGTCTCACTTGAGAGAATTACAGGAAGAGCGCTGGAGAATTGTTCCCAGGCTGCTGACAGCAATCACCTGACGGTTGAACACGTGCTGATACCAAGTGCTGACCTCTTCCTTTGCTGTGCAGGCTGATAAGGCATGGCCAAGTCTTGGTTAGGCTTTGGTGTGGCAATAATCCACTGAGAAGCTGGGTTGATATCAGGGATCTCTAGGAGAGTCCATGATCTTCCTTAAATAACTTTGTTTCTGCAGCTGTTGTGCTGGGGAGGAGAGATTCACTTGGAGAATAGGCTGATACGCTGTGGGAGATTAAAAACTCAGAGCTTACATGATAGGTTGTTTTGTTTTTATTCAAACTCCAGGTAACGAGAAAATTTGGATTATAAATAGAAAGCTTAACAGTGGGAGTAATATAGTATATAGATCATTGTACACGTGAGTGAATGACCTTCATAACTAACCCATGAGTCATTCCTGTGAGAATAAATTGGACTACAAAACAATTAACTGCTGTGGTTGTACTTGCTGGTTGATATGATAGACTGACAAAACTAGCCTGTTTTAAAAATGGACATAGTGCTTGTTTTGGAAATTATAAAATTCCCACGTTTCCACATTAAGTGTTGGTTGACTTCTATAAAGGTACTAATAGGTCAACTTTATGTTGAGGAAAAATTGCTTTACATGGAAGAAAAAGAAGCTACAAAACAAAAAGTGTCTGAGGTAGAAAAAATCTTACCACTTGCTTGCTAGTGTATGTAAGATAAAAGTTTGTTCCTGTGTTGTTTTACTCAATGACTATGAAGGTTGGGAAGGGGGTAGGGGTATTTTTTAGCAGCTGCACTTGTTCAGCAGAAATACTTTGTGGCGTTTCACATTTAAGTAATTGCACCTAAACCAGATGGTAACTTACATATTTTTATTATCATATTGATTACTTAATGATGCATAATGCATATTGTCTTAACTTGGTGATTTGTTAGAAATCAGCTTGGATTTTTGTGGAGGTACCAGAAGTGGAACAAATACTGCATTTCTGACCTTCACTTTGTCAGTTGTACTTCTGAACAGTCAGGCAGTCACAAGTCTTTCCTTGCTTTCATACCTCTATTGCTGCTATCACCAGGTTCTTCAGTTTTCATTAAAAGCTTATTCTAAACTTTCAGTACTGAAGAACTTGATAAAATCATTGGTGTTCTCAATAACACTCATTTTGGGAGAGTTGTGATTGATGAAGAGAGTAGTTGTAGTTGCTAAACTTTTCTGGTTTTAATGCAAGTATTATGCTTATTGACTTTCTGGTTTATGAATTTTTTTCCTGTTCTTTGTCTCAAGAGAATTAGAGAAAAGCAGTTTTCTGATAATTCTGGTAAATAAAGACTGCTTGTATAGGTCTGGTGTTGTACCCCATGGCCCAACACCTCCCCCATCTTTTTTTTTTCCTTTTTGGAAAGAGACTATTGTCTTCCTGGTGAGGGTGGAACAATAGCTGTTCTGAATGACATAACAGTGGAACTAGAATTTGAAAATCATTTTATCCATGACCCCCTTTCTCTATTTTTGCCCTCTCCTTCCTGCTTGGTACAGACTGAATGCCTCCTTGGGACACTGTGTGTAAACCTTCATGCTTTGCTGCTAAATGTGCATCAGAATACATGTTTGGAGTATTTAATATGGCAAGTGCTAAATTAAACACTTGGAACACTTTAGGATTATGAGTCATCAGTCCCTGGCTGCTGTTTTTAGATTTCAATAATTAATACAACCTATCTGGAAGTTACTTTTCAGATCATGGTGATCCACAATAAATCTTGAATAGAATAGAGATAAGCTGGAAAATTCAGGTACCTGTATGCAATATTTTCTAATAGGTTTACCAGTTTTTAATGCTAAACAGGTAAAATAAGGAAATCAGCTACTTTATACATATGAAATTATTTTTAGGTCCAGAAGCAAGCAGAATTTAGACCAGAAGGAGAATAGCAATTACCTTTGGGGGAATCCTAGTTCAGTAGCCTCAGATGTTTCAAAGGAAGAATCTTGCCTGTTAACATTTTTTTTTTTTTAAATTAAATAACCCCTAATGGTTAAATACAGAATCACTCAGTAATATTGACTCTTAAATGTTCTGTTTCGTAGAAGACCCTTTTGAGGACTTCTTCGGTGGCAGGCGGGGTCCAAGGGGAAGCAGGAACAGAGGTGGTGGTGGATCATTTTTCTCTGCCTTTGGTGGATTCCCTGCTTTTGGAAGTGCTTTCTCTCCATTTGACACAGGTAAATATCATAGTATTTAAGAAAGAATGCAATTTTGGCTCATAAAGGATTGTAATACAACAAGCTGGCTTCTCCATTCAGGCAATTCTGTGACTGATTTTTTTTTTAAATTAAGCTGCTGTCTGTAGGGTGTAAATGAAAATTAAGCTGTAGTTAAGAGTATTTGGGCTATGGCTTCTCCATTCAGGCAATTCTGTGACTGATTTTTTTTTTAAAATTAAGCTGCTATCTGTAGGGTGTAAATGAAAATTAAGCCATAGTTAAGAGTATTTGGGCTGCCTGAAAGTTCATATAGAGTGAAGAGATCTCTGAGAAGTGGAACTTTCTGTTTTTATTATTTTGATTCTACAGTTTCGTCATGGCTTTAGAATTCTTTTGTTTTGTTTGCTTTCAGGAGTGTGATGAGTTTTATTACACATCCTGAAAAACATGTGCCTAAATCCCACGGTGCTACTTAGTTAGAGTGCTGGGAATCTGGGCATTGTTTGGGGTGTTACTGATACAGGATTTGTTCTGTCTGCCAGCTCGGGGCATCCCAACATCTGCACTAAAGCTGATGATCAGTCATTAGAGTTGCTGGCTTTCCCCTGAGAGCAGAGTGTGGATAAAGGCTGAGTGCCTTTTCAGGGGAGGAGCTGGCAAATGGTTTTTGGACAATGCTGTGCATTTGGAACTTGAACTTTGGGTCCATATGAGAGAAATGGATTGGGCTGGAGCCGTGGTTTTATTCTCAGGCTGGTGTTAATGCCATCTGATCACTGATGCTACGTGATGAAACCAGCTGAGGGCTTCCTGAAAGTAGGATGTAGTCTGAGTGGATGATAAATTTGGTTCCCACAATCATGCAAAATTACATTTTATTCAAATGCCTTTTTTTTCAATAGGTTTTACTTCGTTTGGCTCCCTGGGACATGGAGGCCTTACTTCATCATTCTCCTCTACGTCATTTGGTGGCAGTGGAATGGGAAACTTCAAATCAGTATCAACCTCAACTAAAATAGTTAATGGCAGAAAAATTACTACAAAGAGGTAAGTGATATAAATATATTTATATGAAACTATATGTAGAGAGACTTAGATACCTATAGTTACATGCATATAAATATATTGCATCTTTACACACACACATAAGGTTTTATGTTTTACTTTTGTTGTTATGTTCATCATATTACTTGGATTTCTCTGAATGCTTAAAAACATTTTGAAATACTTTATTGGGTTCTCTGTCTCTTCTTGGCATTGTTGAGTTACTTAATGCTGTAGCTGGAGCTCTTTTAGGCTTCAGAACCTCCTGTGTGGTGCTGCACCTTTTATTATGGTCCTGACTGTGGTCTGCCCAGTCAGCTTGAACTTGTGTAAGGAAAGTGTGCTTGGTGTCTACGGACTGTGAAGCTTATAATTGGAAACTTTTGCAGATGTTTTGAAAGAATTTTTGTAGATGTTATGCAGATGTTATGAACCAGTCAGCTTGAACTTGTGTAAGGAAAGTGTGCTTGGTGTCTACGGACTGTGAAGCTTATAACTGGGAACTGGGAAGAATTTTAGTTTTGCAGATGTTATGAAAGAATTTTTCCTAGCATCTGCTTAGGGTGCTTTCCTAGTTTTGCAGATGTTATGAAAGAATTTTTCCTAGCATCTGCTTAGGGTGCTTTCCTAGGCAGTGTTTGAGTGAAGTCTTTCTAGTAATTTTTTTTCTGTCTGTTAAATTAAATAAGAAACTGAAGCCTGCTTTGGAGAAAAATGTGCTTGTTTGTTGGACAGTGAATTTTCAAGTCCTGTACACAGTGTACTTTCTCTCCATTTCATGCTTGTGATGGGGAAATCATTGTATTTGGGAAACCCAATTCTTAGCTAGCTATAGAAAATCCTACATGGAATATTATAATCAGTATAGGAGTACTGAACATATATTTAAATGTAATTTCATTACTTAATAGAAAATGATGGAAAAGTGAGGGAGGATGAATTGGTTTTGTTTGTTAACTTGGTCCCATACTTGTAAGTGCAAGGTGCTTCTGTGAACTGTTGTACTGGAGAGGTCCTATCATCTTGACCACTTAATAACAGCCTCTGGATCACATGCTGGTGTGGTCATGATATTTTTATGTGAGTGTATTCCAGAAAAACCTGAAAACTCAAAAGGTCTTTAATAATCTCCCTTTTCAATCCAGGGATACTTGAATTTTGTAACATGCACGTTGGTCATAAAGTTGGTGTATAGTAGATCTACATATTACTTGCTCTGATCAAATTAAAAGTGGATTTAAGACTGTCTTGTGTACAAAATTGTGATTGGACCTAGAATATCATACATTTAACAAATGGGTAGGGACTAAATGCAGTGTCAAGATTGCGCAATTGATCTGTCAAGGCATTTAGGTTTAGATAACAGTGTAGTGTGAGCACAACTGTGACAATGTATGAGGTGGCAGCTGTAACTGTGAACTCTACATCCTGGAGGATTCCAACTTCCAGAAGGCAATTTTCCTGACTAAGCAGTGGGGAAATGCAGATGGGTGCTGCTGCCAGCTCCGGCACTGGTAAATACCAAAGCTTGCCAAGTACAGTTGCATTAAGCAGGTGCTGCTCCCTTACAGTTTGTTATCTAAACCCAAGGTCTGGTGTGTGTTTGAAACTGCCTGCAGTGCTCTAAAATGGCTCATGGTGTTTTTGTCCTGCAGGATTGTTGAGAATGGACAAGAGAGAGTAGAAGTTGAAGAAGATGGCCAGTTAAGGTCGCTAACAATAAATGGTAAGGAGCAGCTGCTACGCTTGGATAACAAGTAATTCAACGCACGCATTTAACAGAAATTTTAAGCTCTAACAGCCACCATTTGAGGATTGACAGGAACATTTTTTGAAGATTTCAAATGAATTCAACTTTCTGTATATCCGTACTCAATCTTAAGTAGTATAAGTAGCTCACAGAAGCTCATATTTGTCATAGACTTTTGAGTTAATCGTTGGGACCACATCAATTGGACCATTTTTTGTCCTTAAAATTGTTGTAAACTTCTGTATGCACTTTTCTTTTCTTATCTGTGATCAAGGTGAACCATGATCCTCCAGTAGTGCTAGGGCGAGATGTACACTAACACTAGCATGAATCTTGCTTTTTCCAATTTGAAATGTGAGCCAATTAGTAGTTCAAGTCTGCTGTGAAGTTAACAGTTCCAGGATAACCTTTTTAATAATTTCAACTTTTTCTTTTTTTTTTTTTTTTAATGTTTAGTAGTGAACAATGTTAATACATTTCTGGTAATGCATTTCTGGTTTAAATAAATTAAGGATGTTTTCTAGTTGTGCATGAATGCAGACAACTTTAGTAAGTTTTGACAAATGTTTAAATGTGTAATGTAAGCAAAAGGTAAACAAAAGTGAAGCCAGTGAGCTGAGTCTTTTGTCATTTGCTAAAAAAAAAATTCAAAATGAATAAATGCTGATGTTTGTGGTGCATTCTTTCATGAATGGCATTTGTAACCTTCCTGTGTCTGTGTGTGATTTGGGCAACTTGGGAAAACGGTGCTTTTTTTTTTTTTTTTTTTCCCCTTACCATCTTTTTCTTCAGTCTTAAGGATGAGGGCCTTTTTTCTTTGCAGATGTTTTCTTCAGTGTGAGTGAAAACATGATTTTTAATTTCATTTCTAAATCTATATTTGAAGCACCTATTTTTAAGAAGCATTCAGAGGCTGACTCTCTAACTCCATCTTTTGCCCTAATATGTAATTATTTTAAGTCTAGGCCTAAAGCAACTCTATTTTAAAAAGTTTTCTAAAGTTATTCTGAGATTTGCTTCAAAAAATAATCTGTAGTAAATATAAGTAAACATTTGATACATTTTATTTAACATTTAATACTTGCAAAAAGACTGAGAATGATGAGTTTTTTTGCTATTTTGAGAACAAATAACTGCTTTGAAGATTTGGGCAAAATTGTTAGGATTATGATATCTCACTCTTATTTTTAGTCCTCAACCAAAAATCAAAAGATGGATTAATGCCCTTTGTTAATTTAATGGAGTAAAGTGTTCATTTGTAGCTAAGACCAGATTTTCAAAGTTTAGTGAAAGATGATTTGGTTTTGGTGTGTCACAGAGAAAGCATGCAGGTAACTAATGGTGAATGTTAACACCTGCCAGGTTCTGGATAGTTCCATGCATAGATCATGGATGTGCAGCTTTCATCTGTGCACCAGCTTTGAACATCTGGCCTTCACAAAACTCTTCAGGGTGGCTTAGTGGTTAAAAAAAAAAAAAAAAAAAAAGCATGGTGTTTTCAAATGATCACCTAATGCCTTCTTGCTGAACACCATCTGCTTTGTACTAACAAATGTGTTGATTATTAAATACATTGAAAAGATATGCTCTTGTTTTTCATGCAGGAAAACCATTTCAACTTAAGCCAAACCAAGCTAACAAACTGCTACTACAGAATTTGTATTTGCAGTAAAGTTAGTATATTGTCCTTTTGTCCCTCTACCATTAATGCTAATTTGATAGAACTGAAAAAAATAACATGTAGAAGAAAAAATAAATATATACTTTGGTTTTGGGACTAAAGCAGTTATATACCTTTTCAAGTTCTTTGCAGAGTTCCTGTTACTTCAGTGTTGTGTTTTTGATGTAGAAGCACAAACTTAGTTTAGAATTAAACAGTGTTTTCTTGTTAATGCTGTTTTTTTCCCCTCCCCATGTATGTTACTTCTTGATCCAGATAACTAAACATGAAATTTATTTCAAAATTTGGCTTTGTTGTGATGTCTTGAGTTATTAAAAATGTTAATTTATATTTATAGGATGCAGTGTGCTCCTTTAAATTATGTAAATTGTAAAAAGTGCTTTAAAATTGATTAACCAAGTCAAATAAAATTAGGACAATCTGGAGTTGAGTTTGAATGCCTTCCTCTGGATACCCCTAGGTTTTACATTAAAGTGCCAAACTTCGCCTTCTAGTTTTATTCCAAGTCATCTTCTTTAACATTTAAATTACCTTGCTCAGGTTAAGAACACAATTAGGGTGGCAGATCTGTACCCACATGCTTATCTTCTTACCTAGGAAAGTGTGATCCTTCTCACAGTGTTACACACAAACAGGTCACACCAGGGTTCTGTAGTGAAATTTTTTAACACTAAATGTGCTCAAGGTCCAGTTGTTTGGATATCTCTGTTCTGCCTTCAGATCCCTGAAGCTGCTTCTCAGAGCTGGCCAAAATGCAGCATTAGAATGGCAGTGCTGCATTTCCTTGGTAGAAGCTGGCAAAACACAGGGAATGAGTCAGCAGAAGGCAGAATTTGGCAGTAGATTCCTGCAGGAATGACATACCCACACACCAGCATTTCCATAGGCTGGTAGTTGAACTGGGTATGTGGTCCTGGTCCAAATATATAATTGGACCAGCAATTCCAGTTCCAGGTTGAAAAATTTGTCATCATTTATTTGATCTAAACCTAACAGTCTCCATCTCCTTCAGTGTGTTTTTTGAAATAACATCACATCCAACTTCTTTTTTTTTTGATGCAACTTCTTGCATCCAGCTCATTTTTAAAAAACACAAAATAAATCCACTGTAACATTGAGAATTTCTTAGCTGAATTTAGTTGCTTTCTCCTGAAAACCCACTTGTTAGGTTGCTTTGAAAAAAATTTTATGTTGTTCCTTTCTAATACATAGTTTGCATGGATGTACAAGACCTGTTTATTAGGAGTGATAGATAATCAAGGGCAGCACATTTCCTTAAACTTCAATTTTGGCCAAAATAGTACAAAATAATTAACAACAGAAAAAGTTCTTGACAGCAAATGCTAGGTACAAATGTACAGTGGGATGAGGCAGCTTCCAAAACCAGATTCTGTTGGATTAAAAGTGCCATCTTTTCATACATGAGGGATTAATTTTGAATGTTTAGGGACACCATCCCATTTAAATTAAGCTTCCTGGAAAAACAGCGGTTTGGAAAAACCAAGATGGAGTTTTTGAACCTGCTAAGTCATTTAGTCTTTCGTGCTCTGCTTCAAAGTTCATTGGTGGATACAAGAACTTTGTAATGCTTTCTCCTGGTGCAACCTCTTTGCAGTCCTTTGTGCATGGCAGCAATCCCAGTGCAGCACACTAACCCCAGTCTCTCTGTAGATTGCATGGCACCTACCCCTTCCACTTGGCTTTACTGAAGGAGTTTGGGATTTTGCGTTGGAATGCTTCACACTGTAAAATGGCTGCACTCGTGCAGCGCTCAGTTCTCACAATACCTCTCTGCTGAGAATCAGAGGGGTTGGTCTGTGGTGTAGGTGACAAAGCTGCTCTGCAGAGAATGTGTGCGTAGCATTTGTCAGGTGGATCCTGTATCAACTTGTGATTAATTGATGAGCTGAGTTAGAATGCTGAAAACAAGATTGTAAAAGATTTAAAAACCCATCATCTCTAAGCCCAGAGGGTTTGTACCTCGTCTCAGTGTTTGTGTTTGGTTATCCTGTTTCCTTGACTCCTTCAGTGTTTTGGCATTAGGTGTAACTGGAGGTTTGTCTTTTGTATTTAGCTGTGCTGTGTTTCAGACCATCTGTGGGATAGTCCAGTGATAATGTGAGATTTTATTTTTTATTTTTGGAAATGTGAGTTCTTGAATCTGCTTCTGTTCTGTTTGAGCAGTGGGCTCCTTTGCCTGAGTTTAATCTGTGTTTGTAACAGGATAGTGCTTCTGAAGATGGTTGTGTGTTGATGATTCCACTCCGTGTGTGGAGACACGAGGCTTGACTCGATTTCAGAAGGCTGATTTATTATGTTAGATATTATATTAAAATGCTACATTAAGACTATACTAAAAGAACAGAGAGATCAGAAGGCGACAAGAACAAAACAGAACAGAATAGAATAACAAAAATCCTGTGACTGCTCACAGCCTTGGCACAGGTGGCTGTGATTGGTCATCAATGGAAAACAATCCACATGGACCAATCATGGATGCACCTGTTGCATTCCACAGCAGCAGATAGTTATTGTTTACATTTCTCTCCTGAGGCTCCTCAGCTTCTCAGGAGAGGAAAAATCCCAGCAAAGGATTTTCTTAATATCATGGCTACAGTTGTGTTGCACAATGAATGCTACAGCTGTTTGATGCTTGTGGTCAGAGAACCTTTGAAAAGGGCTTAGTACTTATAATACTTGTTAACCTTTTTGTGGAAGTGTTTCTTAGTATTTTTGGAAAATTTGCCTCTTCGGTTGTGATTTTTGGATGTTCTGGTAATCAGGCTTATTTTCAAGTCATGGTATTCTCATGGGCTAGTGGCAATATGGACATCAGTAACCTGCCAGTCAGCAGTAACCAAACTTTGAAATTTACCCTTGTTTAACATAAGAAAGCCTGTTTGCACTGTCTGCTCCCTCATGGCTTGTTTACTTTAGGATTGAACTATGACCACAGACTTGATTTGCCTCAACATAGACAGTTTGGGTTTTCTTGTTACTGTTTGTCTTAAAGTGGTTGTCGTAGGTACAGAACTTCTTATCTTCCACCTGAAATGCTGAAATGGTCCTTATGTGGTACTAAGGCTGGAATGAAGAATGTTGACTTTGTTAGTGTTACAAACTGTACCTTTGAATTTATAATTCTAGTGAGTTTCCTACTTGGTTTTGAAAAATACACCTTGGCTAGAGCTGGTTGCTGAGTGGAGTGCACTCCTGAAAAGTTAGAGCTGAAGGTGGTTGGTTTATACTCTGTTATATAGGTCATACATTCACAAGATAATAATAAACCTTATGTTTGAGATGCTGCTGTCAGATTAAAAAAAAAAAAACACGAAAGAATTAAAATCCTGTGGTGATCAGAGCCATAACCCTGAACATCTGCAAGCTGTGCTGATTTAAACTCACTGAAACTTCTCTGAAAACTCTGTTGTGGCAGCCTCAGTGCTGCATTAGGTGTTATCTCACTTAAAACAGCTGGTAGAAAGTTAATCAAAACCCACATGAGTACTTCATGCACTGTCATGCTGCTGTGGCCAAAAGATAGGCAGGAGTTTGGAGGTGATAGTGCCCAGGCCTGAAAGCTGGGCTGTCCTGGTGTGAGGTAGATTGCACCGATGGCCTGACTGCTAATTACCTACTGCATAAAGGAAGTGGAAGTCTTTTAGATGTTGTCAGATTCAAAATGTTGTGGTGGGGATTAAAGTATGTTTAATTGAGAAGATAAGTAAAACATGTTATCAGAAGGAGACAATTAAATAGAATTATCTTTAGTTTCTCTGGCTTTTACAATAAAGTTAACTCTGCAGCATATTGTGTTAATTTTAAACTCACTAAAATGAGGTAATTTTTGAACCTGACTTAAAACTGACAGTCAAGAAAAAATATTTTTAGAGGCTTCTGGTAATAACTCCTAAAATTTGGCTTTGGCCTATAGCTTATCCTTACCTCTGAATCTCAGATGAGGGCTTTTCTGGCTCTTCTTTGCAATGCAGCCAACTTCAAGTGAATTTCCTAAAAACTCCTAAAATTTGGCTTTGGCCTATAGCTTATCCTTACCTCTGAATCTCAAATGAGGGCTTTTCTGGCTCTTTGCAATGCAGCCAACTTTAAGTGAATTTCCTAAAAATAGAAAAAACAAAACCCTGTAGCTGCTAGTTAACCAGCAGTGAAAGTAAAGCTGAATCCTTTCATTCACTTGAATGTTAGAGGGAGATGAAATAGTAACACCTGGTTTGGAAAAGCTCACATGAGCTTGCTGGTCTGTTATATGATAGAACAGATAACATGGTACATTGAGAATGCTTCAGTTCCTCCTTCTTTTTAAAGTCAAATTTGAAACTTCCTGCATTGTTTCTTATTTGTAAATTTATTTGAGTTACTAGAATGAGAGAGGAATCCAGCCTGGGTGACTGGTTGTAGAATTCATGTTGTGGAACCCACATTTGTGATGGCCAGAAAAGAGAATTACTGTCTGTAACGGAGTTGCTTGAAGGTGTTACTAAACCAGCTGAAAATGCAAAGCAGTAGCTCTGGAATCTTCTGTCTTGGTTCCAGTCACAAGCTTGATTGAATTGTGGTGCAGGAGGGGAATTTACCTCCCAATAATAAAAAAAGTCATAAGGCTGCAGAGGCTTGGAGACATCTGGTAGAGGAGCTGGGCAGCCTCATCCATCTTTCGGTTTCCCTCCAGAAATACACGTCACGTCCATGTTAATCTTTGTAACTGATATATAGAGTGAGATTAACTTGCTAATTTATCACACATTTGCATAACTGTCACCATAGCCACCTCTGGCAAAGTTTTCTCCTAGACATGTAGTTGGAGGCTGCCTTTTACTCTTCACAGTAACTAAATCTGCATTTGTCATCCTGTTGTGATATTTGTCATACTCAGCAATGGAAATACTGTGCTTTGCTTTTGTGTAAGAGCATTCTGCAGTATCAGTCACTGTCATTCTCCTTCCAGGGGGAGCTAGACTGTGGATGTTTTTAAATTGTTTTGAACTTCTCTGTGAAAGTATTTCTGAAGGAAAATGGAGAAAACTTACATGGCCAAGGCTCAGCCTTTCCTGCAGCATTTCTTAGCTAGAGGACAAGGCCTCCTGTCTGCAGAGGACTTTGGCCGGGCTTTCTGTAATAATGCTGCCTCTCGTCAGAAGGCACTTTGGTGCTTTGAGTTACTTGGACATCTCCTGTTAAGTAGTCACTCAGACACCCCTGAGAATTACTCTGCTAATCTCATTTCTTACTGCTGGGTGCCTATGGAAATATGGTCAGGTCCTTATCACCAAATGTACTGCACTTGGATAATGAAAGGGCATTATTCATCTGTTCTACAGCAAGTGGGAGCTGGCTGTCCAGGAGAGCAGTAGAGAGCTAGAAATTCACTTGGAGCTCTTTTGGCTGTATCTGGTACTGCCTGCAAGCAGGAGTAGCATTCACAAGCCTCCTGCCCTCAGTTTTTGATTGAGCTCCTGAGTAATGGCCAAGAGGTGGAAGATTTTTCTTTTGGGGACATTCACCTTGAGAGTTAGGACAACCACCAAAATGTTTCTTTTATTAAACACCTCTAGTGCTACTTCTGTCTTTTCTGGGATTGGATGGTGTACCCCTGAGAAGAACAGCAAATCTTAAGGTCCTTTAAACCAGTAAGGGGGAAGCAGGAAAACAATGCAGCTTGTTTTGTACTGTTGACATAAATTTCAAGGACTATTCTCTTCATTTGGCTTTTGCCTTTCTCATCAGGAAAACATGATCACGAGTTATCCCAGTGAATGCAGAAGTGGTGGGTGTTTGTCTGTGTCTCCTTCTCCAGTGAACTCTGCCTGTTCTCTGGCTGCCCAGACTCAGCACTGCTATGGAGGCTGTTCCCCTGCCAGCACAAGCAAGGGAGGTGCTTCTGCAGCCTGTGGATGGTGTGCCAAATTCCACTTTGATTCTGAAAAAATGTGTACAACAGTTAGAAAAAACTCTGCATATCAAAGGTCGCCTTGTTTGGAAGAAGAGTATAAATATTTGTATCAGGCTAGACAAATTCAAATGAGAAGATAAACACACATTTTTAACACATGGATGATTAACTGTTGGAAGGAGCTGCCAAGAGCAGTAGTTTCTCTGGCTTTCATGTCTTAAAGACCAGCTTTCTGAAAAATATCTTGTAGTGAGAAGGGAGTGCTTGGGCTTCACAGAGAAGTGGTGGAAGCTCTGGGAGCCTGGGGCACAGAGCGAGATGCACCATGGAGCACAGTGTTCCTTCCAGCCCTCCTCCATGGGCTGTACCTTGGCTTCTTCCCTCCTGTTGTGTTGCCATTGATGCACAGGTCATGTTCCCTTACTGTGGTTTTCAGACTGGGGGGGATGCTTTTGTGATGTGGGGGCTGCTTTGTCTCTTGGGAGGAGCTGAGGAAGCAGGGGGCTGGGAAGAGAGGAGCCAACACCACGTGCATCTGGGGCAGCCTGATGACTATTGCCCTAAAGCATCCAGTTTGGGATGTGTGGGTGCCAAGAGTGGACTTCATGTGGGAGAAGACATTCTGGATCTGTTCAGGTAAGTTGCTTTATTGTAATGATTGGATTGGATGTTAAGTGAGGAGGAACCAGGGTGAGGTCTGTGATGACTGTGCCAGGGAATTAGATTTGGAATTTGCAATACAATGAACCCTTGTGTATGTTCCTGTCTTCTCACCAACTACTGACTGCACACCTTGAGGCAGCCTAATCCCAGCTCCTCAGTTGAAGATTAGGATGTCTCTTGTTAATCAATGTAATGATACAGCAAATATCCACATTTCAGAGTAAGCTATTCATTTTCTTGAATGTGGGCAATGTTTTAATGGTCTAAAGTTTTTTATTTTTAGTGTCTGTTAAATCTCATGTGGCTAGCAATACATGTGTTTTGAATTTTAAGTGACTGTGATGAAAAGAGCTGGCTTTTTGTTAAGGGAATCACCTTTGGTATTGTGCTAAATGTCTAAGACTGCATTATGTCAGATAAATGGTACTACAGAATAGCCAGGGAATTGTCCTACAGGGCTGTGTGTGAAAAACCTCTCTCTGGATGATTTTTTGGGTTTTGTACAGACCCACAGCTGCACTGTTAGCTTTATTTCTAAGGAGAACTTGAGGAAAGGCAACTTTCTAGAATTATAATTCATCAGCATTTGGGTCATATAAGGAACAAACATTGTTTGTAACAAAATAAAAGGTAAGCTATCATGTGGTAAAATCCTGATATCTCTTGAGTCCTTCCAAGTTTTCAGGAAAGGTATCCTGCTTGAAGAGCACTGGAACTCCAGAATGTTATTCTTCAGTGGTCAAATGAACCATATTTTGAGATCTGAATATTCAGGCCTGAAAATAGCCTTTGTGCAGTCTCCTTTCTGAGCGAGTAATAAAAAGTGCAAGGCTTTTTCCAGTCACCAGCATGGACAGGGCCAGCTGTAGTGACACAAGGAATCTTGTTAATGGAAAAGCAAACAAGTGTACGTGCTGTACTGCTCTGCCCTTTTCTGGCCTAAAAGAGACAGAAACATTTCAGTAGTTTGCAAAGTGTGTAGCCAGTGCACACCTTGAATGTTCATTAGCAGTAAATGGCTTCAAAACTGTTAAAAATTGTTAAAAACAGTTGTTTTTAAATGTACCAGAACTGGAACTTGTTAAAGCAAAACAATTCCATCAATTTTATCTGTGTTTTCCAAGGACCTTCAAAGATTTGAGTTGCATTCTGTGTGGAACCTATTCCAGAGGTGGAAAATGCAGTTTTGTTTGCTGTACAACTCAAGTCCCCTGTTACAGTCACTGTCCAGTGTTTGTAGACTAAACAGTTTTCTTTTGAGAGGCAGGTAGAAAATTACAAGTAGATGATTGGTTTTTACCACTGTTAAGTAAAAAGAAAATGATGTGTACTTTACTATGCATATTCATATTTTATAGGTGTTACATATCAATGTCAGCTACTCCTATGTAGTATCTAAATTGCAGGATCTATTGCAAGGGGGGTGTGTCTAAGTAATTTTGAAAGTACTTTTGAACTATTGCCTTACTTTTGATCTATATTGAAAGTATTAGCCTGAAAGAACTGGAAGAAAGTCCTTTTGGTTAAAGGTTAAAAGTAGAGTAATTTGTCTTCAAGCTTTCTCATAGCAGTTTTGTAGCCATTAATAATTTATTTATTAATAGCTGTAACTGTCTGTAAAAGTGTCATAGAATAGAAAGTGACTTTTAAGTGGCTTCTAATGCAGTGACTAATTGAGAAGATGCTTCTTGTAATCACTCCTAAAAACAAGAAACTCAACTCAGGGAAATAAAACATTTTTCTGAGAAGACACAGGTGTTCAAACCTCCTTGCTCTTCTTGATCAACCAAATTGAGAACATCAGATGAATTAATTACTCTTACGTGGTTTCCACTCTTCCCTCTCCTCTAGCACTTGCTCTGAGATCACATGTGTGGTTTTGCCCTCAAAATGTTTATAGAAGGTGATGACTACATCCCTGGTAACCCTTTTCGTGGAATAAATCACACAGCCAAGTGCATGCCCGTGCTGCTCTGTTGCAGGGGAGGTGCTTGTTGCCCTGCACAGAATAGTTTCCAATAGTGGAAAGTTCTTTTATGAGTGCTGTTTGTGGGGGGGAATTTTGCCTTGCGCCTCCCAGCTCCTCCTGAGACCAAAAGCCAACCCTTGGTTCACGCTGGGCTCTAGATTCAGCTCGCTGTTGTGTTTTCTGGGTGTGGTGGCAAAATTACCCAAATTGTCAGTGTCTCTGCTGTTGGGTTTGGGCCTGTAAGGGGCACAGAGCCAAGCTGGCAACTTTCTTGTAGGTTAGATGAGAGGTTAGATGATAGATTGTTAACAGAGGTCAAAGCCTCTTGGGTTTTCTATTTTTGTGACTATTCTGGCTAATCTTTTAAAATCTAGGTCCTCCAGATTTTCAGTTAAAACTGGAGTAGAGGTGGACACTCAGGTCCCAGCTGAACTGTCATCGGTGTCTATTTATTGCTGCTACAACAGTGTGGTTTTATTTGTTGATTTATCTTCTCAATTGAATTCAGTGCTTTGAAGGCTTTTGCAAAAAAATTCCATCTCCTGGAAGGCAATTTTGCTGCCCTTTTGGCTCCAATTCTGTTTCCAGTCCACTATTCAGTCTTGTCTAAGCAACTTTCTCCTTAGAAAAACAGTTCATGATTCTTCTATTTAGTATTTTTAAATATTACTGTAAATGGAGATTGTTTCTGTAGAGATACCAGGCTGTATCCAATACCAGCAGTTCAAGCAAGGTCAGAATTTTAACTGGAAAGTGACAAAATGTTCTCAAATGTGCCAAATCAGGGACTATTTCTGTCAGTCACTGACTTGCAAGTTAACAAATGCAGGTGAACATCAGCCTTACCTGTTGTGGATCTGTTCCAGGTTTGCTCTCTCTGTCACAGTGCTGTCTGCAGGACATTTCCAACCCTGCAAAGGGAGCCACACTGCTTCACAAGGCTGAGGAGAAATGCTTTAGTGTAAATTGAGTTTGACACCTTCACACTGAGTAAAACTCTTGGCAGATGTTTCTGAGAAGATTCTGAGTATGCTGATGTTCAAGGAAGAGGTGGAATAGCTCTGTTGGATGCTGCACTTTGGGCTGCTACAAAATCGTAGTTACACAGCTCAAACCACTGAAGTTTTGATACTGGTTTTTATAATTTTTCAAATATTTATACCATGATATATTGAGCCCACTGACAAATAGTCACTTAAACATTCTTTCATAAAGCTTTCACTGCCATTACAGAGTTACAGGAGATGAGGGTACATTTTTAATGATGGGTGATTCTGAGCAGAAGCTGGTTATGACAACTTCAGGTGCTGTTCATTTGTGCACTTTTGGTGGGTGCAGCCCTCCCCAGCTCACCTCCACTTCTCCACCGAGAGCCAGTGGGCTCTCCAGTGTGCATTCCACCCTTCTGGAATGTGGAGCACTCCAGCTTCTCTGCCTGTATGGAAAGTTCTTAAATACTGGTCCCCCCTTTTTTGCGTTGGCCCCAGAGATTGTGGTTGTTCCTGCCCTTGGTGCTTCATCCCACGGACCTCAAGGTGTGTGAGAAGAGGAGAAGGTGGGATGGTGCCACTGCAGCCACACAGGATGGGAGCAGCCCTGGGGTGGCCTTCCTGGGAGATACCTGGCCTTCCTGGGTGCACCAAGAGGTACTAATGTCACTCTTCAAACTCTCCTTCTCTTTCCAAAACTCACAAAGCTCTCTTGGTAAAATCTTGCCTGCTCCCACTGGATCTCTGCAGAAGGAGCCTATAAACTGACGATACTGTTTCCAGGCACAAAAGAGAATTGTAAGTATTGTTAGTGTTGGGTGATAGTCATGTTCTTGGTTTGGTGTTTGGGGTTTTTTCAGTTGAGAAAATCTTTGTTTCTGTGCTCTCTTTATTGGTTGTTTGCATCAGAAGTTCATTTTGAGAAGCATACATGGAACTATTTATTTTTGTCTGTTTAAATACCTACATGTATATGTGTGCATACATTTGCATTTATAAACATTGTTACTGACAGATTTTGAAAAATTAGTTGTATTTCTAAACTGTGGTGGGTTTGAAGGCATAGTTCTTTACTATGGGTGGGAAAGGAAGAATGTTTGGAAACTTTGAGATGGATTGGAGATGCCAAGCAACAAAAGTTGGTGCAGCTTGGGAGTCATATCTCCTCTAAGGCTAATTGTACAGGTTTCATAATTAAATATAGTATTTAGTCAAAACTACTATTGAATGTCAACTTGAAACACTATTAAAAAAAAAAGTTCAGGCTTGTAATTTTTATGTCAAAAATGGAACAGCAGCGAATGACTTAGTGTTCCTGACATTGGGAACTGGGTTTTGTGGTGAAAGTTCATGAAATACTTTGAAACCTACTGAGCCTCAGAAGAGATGTCCTGTTACTGTGAGCATGTGATGCTTTCAGGGTCATTTAAAGATGATGGTCTCTGGAGCTCTGTAAATCAGGGATGTGTGCTCACACTGGAAGATGGGATTTGCTTGCTGTAGTCCTACAGGGATAGATGGATGAGGAATAAATTGCATGTAGGGGGGTGTAATTGGAAAGGGCAGGTATCTCTTCTTTTTGTAATTAATACGTGGAACCCTTAGTGTCAGAGCCACAGTGTCATATTTAAGCCTCAGGGTAGAAGGGAGAATATTTTTCAAATGATTAACCTGAAAAGATGAGACCTTGCAGACGGAGCGTGGACAGTGCAATATGAAACTTGGAGCTTCACTTACTGTCTCGTGTCTGTGCTATTTCAACAGCACTAATAGCCATTTGATGAAAGTATAAACTTAGTGATTTTGTGCTTTTGCCAAATTACTATGGAAGTGTTGACAAAACAGCTGGGGAAGTCATTCATCACATTTTTCTGAAGTCACTCATGAGATTCTTTTCTTTTTAAATTTAACTGCATGGCTTTTTCTTGATGTATCTTTTTTTCTTTTACGGTAATGGGTTTGCTGTGCATTAAGGTTTTGAAGACTGGTTTAAAGCTGATAATCAATGGAAAAATATGTAACACAGATGTACAATTTGCAAATTAGGGCTTGCTCAGAACTCTTCTGAAGTTCCTCCTTTAGTGAGGGCCACTAATGGGAATTTAAGATGACGTCTTGATACTTCAACTCATTAGTTTTTAAGAGTTATAAAGATCTGTTGCAAAAGTAGAAGAGCACTTTTCCTCAGCTTTTGCTGTTTGAAGAGCTTTTTAATTAGAAGCCAATTTTGCTTGACCTGGTATTGGAAACTCCTAGAAGGGCTGAAGACAAGAAGGGAAGTTTTGTCTTTGAGGGCAGTGAGGGAGCTGTTTCATCTGGAACTGGGAGGTTCTGGAGAACAAGTGTGAGAGATGTGAAGGTCCACGGGGCTCTGCTTGGGCACAGGGGCAGAGGAAACACTGGTGGGAGGCACCTTGTGTCTGGGTACACCATGGAGGACCTGGCAGGGCTGCATGCAGTTGCACTGTGGAATTTTTATTTCTTTGTTTTCCTCTAGTAATGACTATTAGGCACCATTCCAAGGGCTGGTGGGCTGTTTTTTTTTTTTTTTTTTTTTTTGTTTTTGGTTTTTTTTTTTTTTTGTTTTTTTTTTTTTTTTTGTTTTGTTTTGTTTTTGTTTTTTTTTTTTTCTTTTCTCCTCAGTAGGATTTTGGTTTGCACTTCAAATACAATTTCAAAGTGAAACTTGGGCTGTGAGGCTTCCTCATGGCAGAGATGAAACCCACGGGGATTTCTGTCTGAGGTCAAAATATAGCTGAGATGAAAAAACCCTCTTTGTTTCAGGACAGTTTGAGTTGGAAGGGATCTTAAAGTTCAGCCAGTTCTGATGCCCTGCCATGGGCAGGGACACCTTCCACTAGACCAGGTTGCTCAGAGCCCTGTCCAACCTGGCCTTGAACTCTTCCAGGGATGGGGCATCCACAGCTTTTCTGGACAACCTGTGCTAGGTAAAATTACTTCTAAAAATAAATTTCCACAGTAAAAATTTCTTCCAAATATCTAATCTAAATCTGCCTCCTTTCAGGTTTAAAGCCATTCCCCCTTGTCCTATCATTGTCTGCTCTTGTAAGTATCAAACCAAATCAAATACTTTGATGTCAGTGATACAATTTCTGGAGGAAGAGTAGCCATGTGAGAGACAGAGAGAGGTACAGTGTTCTGAGCTCCATCTCAGCCATTGTTGTGTGAGGTGTGTTGGAGAGAGAAGCCCCAGGAGTAGGAGCCCCTGGTATGAGTTGTTAAAGGGATCTGGTCACTTCAGTGTCTTGCTGTGCAATGAGACTTGCAGGAAACTGGGGTAGACCTCTGACATGACCCTGAAGAGTGTAGAAAATGCAATCTTTTAAGTAATCTTGATTGCTGTTTAAAAATCAGGTCCATTTGCTCAAGCTCCAAGCTTGAAATCTTGCTAATTTGTATTTATATATGTCAAGCTGTGAAGCTCGTTCCTCATTCTGTGCTTCCTTTCAAAATTCATGCAGAAATGAATAAAAGGCCCCTGCTTGATAAAGTCTTTTAAAATTAATAAAATTCCCTTTGAGCATGCAAATTGGGTCATCTCTCTGCTTGCTGGAAACGTGAGGATTCATGTTACCTCCTGCCATTTGCATTTCCAACATCCCAGATCTTTAAGATGAGAGCAACTGGCGTTATCCATACGGATGCCCTGGTGTGCTTTAACAGAAGGAAAATAGCTGCAGAAACCTGGGTGTGCTCAGCCTGTGCCTTCTCTCCTGTTTCAGAAACAGTGTAGGACCAATTCACTGGGCTTTAAAAGGTTCTGATGAGGAAGTTTTGGCAAGGAGGAAGTAACTCCATGCTCTCCCAGCAGCTCCCTCTCTTTAGGCCAGGCTCCAGAGCTCGACCTGGTCCAACAGGAGTGGCTTTAGCCATTGATTCCTGATAGCCACCATGGGGAGCAGCATGATGGCATTTCCTTTCAAAGCAGCACCACTGTGGTTGGTGTGTGCTGAAAACTCACTCTATTTTACCAGTTTCTTGCAGATTGGGGAATCTTTGTGGTGAAATGTGCCTTGAGTAGCTTGTGATGTGCTGGGAATGCAGGATTCGTGTTGGTACACGCTGAGCTGAATGCAGGATATAATGGGGTTCTTGGGTGTGGATGGGGGTGGTAGGTAAAATCCACCTAAAAAAAAAGGAAAATCTAAAGCTTGAACTTTCTAAGGGAGCTGCTGCAGGGCAGGGAGGGTGAGAGGACCCAGCGTGGGGCTTTTCCTGCTCTGGTCTGTGCTGCAGGAGTACAGCTGGGCAGGAGCAGTGTGAGCTGGCACTGGAGCGGATGAATGCAAAGGCAGAAATAAAAGGAGCAAGTCCATTGCCGGCTTTTCAAGCCAGAAGGGCAGAGGGCTGCTCTGAGCATCGAGCAGAAAGCACTGAGCCCTGCCCTTTCCCGGACGCCGGAGGTGCTGCAGCCAGGCCTCTCCCAGGACAGAAATAGCACTCCATCAGCCTGTGCCTTTTCCCAAATCCCACACCCTTGTGTTTTCCATCACTTCCCAGGACTTTGCCACCACCTCCCCTGCCGTCTCCTGCCACTTCAGGATTTTTCTTCCCCCCTGGCAGGAAATGTCTGGCTTGCATGGCAGGCGAGATAGTAGTGCTGGTCCTGGCCTGGGAAAGGCCAGCCCAAGTCCCCTAATTATAAACTTGAGGTTTTGGGTTGAAGCAGGGAGATATAACCCACATCCGAGTGCAGTGCCATCGGTGCTGAGAGAGCTGATCCGTCAGAGCCAGTGCAGGATGTGAGACAGGGAGAGGAGGGGGTGGGACACTGAGAGCAGGGCATGGATTGGGAGCTGCTGGCATCTTCCGTTTCTACCCAGCTGAGCACTCCAGGCACCGCTTTGGATAAATATTTCCTTGCATTCTGGAGGACAGGAGTCTCAGACAGACACCAGGAAACCCTGAATCACCTTGTGTTCTCTGTAACAC